TATATATATATATATATATTCTCCTTCAAAAAGGTTGCAGGTACAAAAACAATATACCAGGTGCAACAAAATACCTGTTGATCTCTCTGAAATCCAGTGTGCTCCTAAGTTGGTGTTTGAGCTGACTATACAGAGCCTTTGATGCACTGAAGTACCACGTAGTGTAGTCAGCTGTGCCTGTTGGACTATACCTATCCCCAACCTTCTCTGTCCCTCCCACATACAAGGATTTCGTCCCCAGCAAAATAATACTGCTGCAATGTCTCCTAATAATAGCTCTTGGGAGATGAAGTTCTGAGGCATGTCTTGGTTAACAGGAACTCATCTCCCAGCAGCTGCTCCTGTAAGAATTTTACAAGCCTGGTGATGATGCCACAAGGAATAACTAAAGTTGTTTCTCGTTCCACGAACAATTACTGCTAGGGGATTATTTAGAAATGAAGAGGAAGGTTTTGGGGTACATATAGAAATTGCATAGACCATCACTTTAAAGTAAACCTATCATGAGAAAAATAATATGTGGCCACCATCCTTCTAAAATTACCAGCTGCTGGGCTCTTAAACCTCTAGAACACTAACCTATAACATGTATGCAGAACAAGAAAGTTGACAAAAGGTTGTTTGCATATTTACTGTGGGTCAATGGCTCAATGTATCTCAATGTATTAAAGCAAGAGAGTCAACATAACAGCAAGGCACCTAGCATTTTCAGAGGGGATATCTGCAATAGCAGGCTCCAAGCAATCCCTATGCTATGGAATCCGACAGGTTGCTGTGGGTACCAACCCTTTCATTCTACTGAATGCAGTTCAACATCTTAGATTTATTCCAGATGGAATTACAGCACATGCAGTAAACAATTTTATATATTACCCCCTAAACAAATAAATCATGGTGATATTTATGGCTGTCACCCATCTGCTGAAGTTAGACTAAGAATCCCATGACCTAGAGTAGACTGTTATTTGTAATTTAGAAGCTGGCACCAGTAAAGTCAGTTTTCAATTACACCAATTCTTTGGATTAATAATGTTATTGACAAACTCCTATACTGAGCACAGTGGAAGTAAAGATAATAGGACCGGGACCGGATCCTGAGGGCTTCCCAGGGGAGAGAGGCTGAACTCCCCTGGGGCCACATCACCAACAATCTCACATAGCATAAAATAAAGAACCTCCTGCCCTAGGGGGACAGGAACAAAAAAGACTGGAGTACTATGGAGTAGGAGGGGCTTATATAGGCTGAGGGTCGTACACGTTAACCCTTTTTGTTCCTGTCAACTAGGGGTAGAAGGAGTATAACCCAATTGTCAGCGCTGCCATGGATATGGCCAGGAAAATAGGTTTACACAGCTACATGCTGTATTTTAAACTCCAAAAGGTGTGTTTTATTTACTCATATAAATATAATATATGCTGAAATAAATTCATACATAAAAAATTAGATAAACATACTTTTTATCTGATCTTCTGTGCTCAAGACGCTTATCAGGATCTCAATCCTCCTGGTGCTACGGCTTTTAACATTCTCGTCATCCCTTAATAAGCCTATGGCATTCTGAACACAGCTTCGGATGAGAATGGTGGTGTCCATCATCTGTAAATACATGAAAATAAGCTTGTAAGATTTCATGGCAATCAGAAATAAACACTCCTTATAAGGCAAAATGCAATAGACCATGCAAGAATATCCAAAATTGAACAGAAACACCCAAAACATGAAAAATGAACTAAGATTTAATTGGTCAGAGAGGTCTCTGCTCTTGCTCGGCTCAATTTCTGCAACTGTTCAGCAGAAGTACCAATAGCACATTCACAGTCAGTCACTAGAGTGAAAACCTACGTGTATGTAAGTATATGTGAAATCCAATCACAAAAATACAGCAAAAACAAAAATGTAGAAATAACATAAGAATTACTGCTTCTGGAGTTCCCCCACAACAACACTCAAAGCCTTAAAGTGTATGTAAAATCAAAACTTTTTTTTTTTTTTAGTTTTGGACAGAGAACAGAATTGTAAGCTATTCCCTCTTAGACAGCTCCACCAGAACAGTTTTCACCATTGGAGCAGGGCCGTAGCTAGGGCGAGGCGACTAATGTGCTTGCCTAGGGCGCAGGTGGGGGCGCAGCCAGGGCTCAGCGTGGTGGGGCGGCACAGCCTGCAGCTTCTCCTCTGGATCCCCGCTGCTCTCCCCCATCTGTATGGGCAGAGGCAACGGGGATACGAGGAGAAGTGAAGCGATGCAGCCGATGGGGAAAGGGGGGGGAGGGGGGAGCCGCTGTCACAGCAGCATGGCCGAGCGGTGAGGAGAGAGAGCCGCTGGTCCAGGATCTGACAGCTGGTGGTTCTCTCTTTCCTCACGCTCGGCCATGCTGCTGTGGCAGCGGATCCTTCCTCCACCCCCTTTCCCCATCGGCTGCATCGCTTCACTTCTCCTCGTATGCCCGTTGCCTCTGCCCATACGCCGGCTTCAGCGCTTCACTCCTCCTCGGATGCCCACTCCCTCTGCCCATACAGATGGGGGAGAACAGCAGGAATCCAGAGGAAAAGCTGCAGGGTGTGCGGCTCAGGATGGCAGAGCGGAGGATCGGTACATATCAGTGATGTGTACCGATCCTCTGTGCAGATCGAATACTGGAGCGATCAGCTGATCACCCCAATGTTTGTAAATAACTGGGGACACGTAGTACTATGTGTTCCCAGTTATGAATGAACAGGAAGTGCTTTACATCACTTTCAGTTCATTCATGAGTTTCTGAATGGGGAGTAGCACTCTGTACAGAGGCTTCTCCCCATTCAGAAACTGGTGATAATAAATATTTTCTGAATGAATGGGAAGCCTCTGTACTTTCCATTCATTTAGAACAGATGCTGTAGAAAAAGGGAAATATCAGGGGGCTGCTGAGACCCCTAATATTTCCCCAAAAGCCCCCAACAGTAAAATAAAATAAAAATAATTATAATAAATGAAAAAGAAATAAAAATAATAAAAATAAAAAAAACACATCCTGGAGGCGGGGCACATGACATTGCATGATGTCACGCTTACGCGGCGTTGGGTGATGGCACACGTCTGTTGGGGGTGCGCATTTTTTTGTTCTCGGCTACACGCAAAAAGAGCTAGGTACGGCTCTGCATTGGAGGATTTCACTTTACTATCTATGTTAATAGCAGCTTAAACATTTTGGATGTCCCAACATGTTTTTAATAAGGAGGTCCAGTACTAGCTCTGCACTTGTCGGCTGCTTCTTCCTAATTGCAAATTTACATAAAAACATATTATCCAGGAATTTCACAGCACAGAAGTAAAACTGCAGAAAACCTCCGGTAATCAAGTCTCTAGAGCTCTACTTGCTGGTAGCAAGTGGAACATATGAAATGTTTATCTGTCATATTTTATATTTCGCTGGTAAAAAACAAAAGTTGTGAACCTAAAGCAAATCTATACAAAAGCGCTAAAGATTTATTTTAAGAAATTAAACTGTATTGACAGAAGGAAACCACTTTGATTTCTGCAAAGGGTCCCATTTTGTTTATAGCCAGCCCTGCTGTTTCCTTGAATTCATGAACTTCTATGGTCACACTTAGTGTTTTAAAACTAACACGTCAATGTCATAATGATCCTCATGTAATCTATTTAATGCAGACATTCCTGGATCTATTCTTACATCCTCTGGTCTGGGCAGTGGATCATCAGTTTCCATTTCTTGATCTTCAGAAGTTTCATTTTCAGTCTCCATTTTGTCTTCCATATCTATATCCATCTCTTCGTTCTTGTCCTCTTCATCACCCCTGCTGTGGATCTCACTGTCTTCATTTCCATGGATCATTTCTACCTCCATCTCTGTTTCCATGTTTGTTTTGTGCTTAGTATCATTCTTTCCTGGTTCTTTTGTCTCTGTAATAACAAAACAAAGAAATCAAAGCAGAAAGCTCATAGCATTTGTGTTTCGTTTTGGCCACGTAGGCAAGGTTGCCTTCTTCAATTACCAATTACACGCTGGGAGAAAAGAGGTGACTAGGGAAGTAGATTTGCAACAGCCATTTATTTGCAACAGGTTTCTTTTTTTGTAGTTCTTATCATATAAAGGGATCAGGAATACCTTGCTGAAATACATTTATATTTCCACCACTCCAGCTTACCTTCAGTATAGAACAGACGGCTTATGGTGAGATCCTGAAGTGCTGTTACATCATCAACCATATCCTTAGACTTCCTCAGATCATCAATGTGAATGGACTGCCACAATCCTGCAAACAGCAAAGATCATTAAAAGGGTCAATCATGTTGATGGACTGAATTGCCCTTCGGAATTTCATATCTCACTAGAAATCTGTCTAAAGATGTTTGCTTCACAAAAGTCCTCATTACCAGGCAGTCTGAATTATATGGAAAGTACAATGTTTTTGATAATTCTTGTTTAAAGTGTTTTCCACAGCCGAATTGGCATAATTTAAAAAATGCTTTTTGCAGTTTAAATTGCTTTTACTTGGGTTAGGGTTTCTTGGTTTCTTAAGGGTTAAAATGTCTACTTGCTTCCCCTTCTTTGTAATGTAAGGAGAGGCTATGAGGGGTGAATGGTTTGTTAACTATGTTGCACTGTGCTGGCTCATTTTATTATAATTGTTATAATAGATTTAAACACTGACTGTCTTAACTGTCTTAAGGGTTAAAGGATTAAAAGCCTGATCTTTGCATGAGAGAATCACAAGCCACACATTTCAGTCCTGAGTCTTCCAATAAGGACAGATCACTGTGAAGGTGCTCAGAAAAAAATGGATTCAGCTATTTTGCCTGCTGCAACAAAATATCTAAAAAGGTAAGAAATATTTAAAATATATATTTTTTGGTATGCTGTATGAATGGGAACACATAATGAACATATAGAGGGGTTTTCTCAAATCTGACTGCAAAAGTGGAAATACACTTTCAAGTTTACAGGTTTATAACCTGTTTTATATCACAGTTTTTGCTTTTTTAAATACAAATTGTATGGTTTAATATGATTTCCTAAAAAGAAAGCCCAGCACTAGCTGCTCACTTTCTGACTCTCTTGGCTAACTCCAGGCAGAGTGTATATGCAGAGTAGATAATGCGGGTATGACCCTCTTCTGACTTATTTGGCTGTGTGTGTAATTTGAGCTCCTGATAATCTGTAGTGTAACGTAGGGCTAGTGATACTGGTGTCCAAGTAGGTAGCAGGTGATTCACATCCACCCAAACTAAAATATTAGTTAAATTGGTTGGATTTGGTCTTTAAGTCACAAACCAAACTATTCCTTTTTTTAGGCAGTGGGTTTAGAATTTTCTGATCCTAGAGAGAGGACACAGCTAATAATTAGGACTGAATATTAACAAACTCAGAAAAGATCAAGGTGGTGTTTAATTATCCCATTAATTTTAGTAAGATGTTAAGCATTTAAGTCAGATGTTATATGGCATGGGTTAAGTGATGTATGGGCTCATAATAGGATGTGAAGTAGAAACAAACTTACCTCCTCGGAAGCCTACATAAGAAGTGCCTCCTTGCATTCTGGGAAGTTTGGTTATGAAGTAGACAAATACAGACGCTTCTTTGAGATTCACCTTTTGTATCTCATTCACAGCAGAGTACCTAAACAGAACACAAATGTTCAAAAGTATTTAACGGTTAAAATAATGGAACACAAATATCCCATGCACTCCCATGTACTAGGCAGTATACTGTGGTCATCTCTGGGGCTGTACTGATTATAGTTGCTCCATCTATCCTAGACTGCTAGAAGGAAAGCCATGGGTGTTAACCTCATGCACTACCACTAGCCACCATACTGTTTCCTGTTCTGGCATTGGTCAGCGGGGCCTCTGATATGTTTATATCTGTTCTACTCCTCCCTGTGAGTGCATTTAGTGAGTTTGAATAATAAAAAAGCAATCTTATAATCATGTGCTGGGTTGACCTGCTTTCTCCTCCTTACCCTATGTATAGGTTATGACATACCAGTATATACAATGATCTAGTGTAACACTGAAACCAGTTGTCTCTAACAAAGCGGGAAAAACTATGTGTATCAGCAAGCTTGGGTTTTTAAAAGATTTTATTGTAAAGAAACCCAGTTGAATGTGACTTACTAACATTAAACCATGATCAAGGACATAACTCGTAGGTAGAGGTATATTATATATCATACAATATCTATTATATTATATATTATCCATTGAGTTCCTTCAAAGCATGGGAAAGTATTTGCATTCTTTTTTGCATCACCTCAATTAAATTAATTTAGTTTAAATGTCAGTACAGTAAACAAGCTTACTTTGCTGATGCCACAAGATTTGCTCCTTGGGATCCTTCTTCAAAATCAGTCTGTATAATCAATATTAGATTTCCAGATGAGCATTCAAGAAAACTCCTGCATTAGGAAGAAAAACAAATGATATGTGCAACTATCATTCTTGTTTGTAATTGTGCCAGTATTGCTGTTACTACTATTATTACTATTAGTATTCATCCTATATCCTCATTTTATTGACATTTGATATCTGACAAGAAATTCTAATTAGGTTATACTATCTTATGTATCCTTATGTAATAAGAATTACAAATGTTATTATATGTGAAAACTGATGTTAAATTACAAGTGACAGTAAACTCAGGAGTTGAATCTTAAAAATGCATTCAAGTACCCTAACTATTAACAAGCAAGCTTGGAGCGGTGGCTACTTGACAACACACACGGGGGCCATGGGGAACAAAAGTAGCCACCCTCCAGAAGGAAGGACAGTGTCAGCACCAATTCAGGGATAATTTGAGGATCTACAGCTGAGTGATACACAAATAAGATACATTTTTGTTCCTAGTTAGGGTACTTGCATTTTTAAGATTCAACTCCTGAGTTTAGTGTCAGTTCAATATCTTCTTTTCTTAATCTCTTCTTCTTGATATACTTCCAAATGCTTTCTTAAAATGCAGCAATATTTTGCATATTTATATCAAATAAGTATGTATTTATTGAAATTTGTCCATATCCATCTGTAATAGTTACTAGTTAAAATTTGAATAAAGAAAATTTACATAAAAATAAATAAACTTTTATCTGATTCAAATTCACCAAATATTTCTGTAAAAACAATTACATTTAAATTCTTTGGTGACCACAAACGACAGCCAATGCTATTGACTGTTTTTAAGGAACCTGTACAAATATCACCAAGGTTCATCCCGCAAACTGTCTAGACTGGGTGTGATGATAATTCTATTATCTTCTGCACTGCCAAGTGAAAACTTACCGAATCTTTTTCAAGAATGAGAACTCTGTATCAAACTGCTGCAGGGACAAAATTTCAATGCTACTGACTTGGCTTCGTAACTCAGTTTCTAAAACCTTTCTGTCAGCAGATGTCAGAAGGCGGGAAAATGTTGTGATCTAATAAAAAGAACCAAGATTAAAGCAGATCTCCAGCCAAACATAACAAGATAAAAATGCATAGCCCATTAAAACAATAAAATAACAAAATCTGCTTTTGTTGCAATATTTAGCTTCAACACAGAGATTTCCCCTGCAGTACTTGTTTGCCACCAGATGTCTTCAGCCTGATGTCCAGTATCATTTGACCCACTACCTCTGAGCCCAGGTCATCCTGGACCTGCACTAGCTTGTGACTGAACAGTGAAAGGAGAAGCAGCACAGTGATGAGCTTATTTCTCAATCACTCTGTTTTTTTCTTCTAATAGCATACTTGTTGTCAGCACATTAACTGATTGGCTCATTGTGCAGCTTCTTCCTTTCACACTCCAGTCCTGCTGTACAGGGACTTGATATCAGGTCAAATTCAGGTACTTACACTGCTTGCATTAAAAAAAAATACATTTAATGATGCATTAATAATTACATTATATATTAATGATTACAGAACTGCATTAAAACATGTCATGTTTCTCCTGGGAAATCCAATGTTTCCCAGCTCAAACTTTCAATTAAGTCTGCTAAATATATTCCAGAGACAGCAAAGCAAACGTTGCTTAAAGTCCTACAGTTTGCTTATTTGGAAAGCAGCCACAACCTGAATAGAAATGTCTGCCCCCTGTCAGCAAGCTATGGAGAAGGAACCCTGTTCTCTGTGTGAAAGCAGTGGTCTCTCTGCAGAGGCACGACACACCCATTCTGAGTCAGAGCTCTCTAGCTTGCAAAAATCATGCTTCCTGCTGAATAGAGAGCTCTAGCTCTGACTCAGTGGGTGATGTGTTGGACCTCTGTAGAGGGAGCACAGCTTCCACACAGAAAGCAATGGTCCGTTTATGAAGCACACTGACAAGGGACAGACTTTTTTCTAACATATGATGTGGCTGCTTTCAAAAATAAATGAACTGTCTGATTTTGAGCACCTTTTGTTATGATGTAACTGGAATATATTTAACTGATTTAAAGGAGAACTATGACATGAGTGATTTCCACTCACCTCATAGTTCTAAGCCGACCTGTGACAATGAGACTGTCACAGGTCGGCTCAGTAGATTGGGAGGTGAGGGAAAACATACCGGGTTCCCTCACCTCTCGATCCTGTCACGGCTCTCTGCCGTGACAGGGGGAGGGGCTGGATTCCCCTCTCCCCGCTCCGATCTGCCAGCGCTGACTGGCAGAACGGACGGGGGAGGGGGCGGGTACAGCTGGCTCTGCCTCTAGGTAGGCAGAGCCAGCTGTCACTCACGCAGCTGGGCGGATCCCGTCATCTAAGTCGGGATCCGCTCCAGGTGCGGCGTCTCAGTATACCGCGAGCTGTAGCTCGCGGTATACTGAGCTTAGGGTAACGGGAGGACGCTAGTTTGTGTCCTCCCATTACCCTAAGGAGAACTATGGGGAAAAACACTGACCCCATAGTTCTCCTTTAAACTGAAAGTTCATTTGGCTTTTCAACCTGAACTTTAGGCAAGCAGCTAAATACAAAGAAATAATACATACCGTGAGGAAAATAATTATTTGATCCCCTGCAGATTTTGTATGTTTGACCACTTACAAAGAAATGAAAGGCCTATCATTTTTATCACTGGTGTCTTTTAATTGATAGAGACAGAATGTCAATCAAAAATCCAGAAAAAACACATGATACAAATGTTCTAAATTGAGTTGCAGTTCAGTGGAAAAAAAAATATTTGATCCCCTACCAACCAACAATAATTCTAAATCCTCCCACAGACTGGCTATGCGGTACACAGATTAGTCCTGTCAATTTAAGAAGGTGCTCCTAACAACAACTCGTTATGTATATAAAAGCCACCTGTCCACATAATCTCTTTCTTCCATTTAAACCTCACCACAATGGGCAAGACCAAAGAGCTGTCAAAGGATGTTAGTGAAAAGATTGTAGACCTGCACAAGGCTGGAACGGGCTACAAAACTATCAGCAAAAGCTTAGTGAGAAGGAAACAACTGTTGAGCGATTATTCGCAAATGGAAGGAATACAAAATAACCATCAATCGCTCCATGCAAGATTTCGTCTCATGGTGTAAGGATGATCATGAGAAAAGTGAGGGATCAGCCCAGAACTACACGGGAGGAGCTTGTGAATGATCTTAAGGCAGTTGGGACCACAGTCACCAAACAAACCATTGGTAACACAATACACCGCCATGGATTGAAATCCTGCAGCACCCGCAAGTTCCCCCTCCTCAAGAAGGTACATGTACATGCCCGTCTGAAGTTTGCCAATGAACATCTAAATGATTCAGAGACGGATTGGGAGAAAGTGCTGCGGTCAGATGAGATCAAAATTGAGCTCTTTGGCATTAACTTGACTCGTCGTGTTTGGAGGAAGAAAAATGCTGACTATGACCCTAAGAACACCATCCCTACAGTCAAGCACGGAGGTGGAAACATTATGCTTTGGGGCTGTTTCTCTGCCAAAGGTACAGGCCGACTTTGCTACATTGAGGGGCCAATGGACGGGGCCATGTATTGTAAAATCGTGGATGAGTACCTCCTTCCCTCAGCCAGAACACTAAAGATGGGTCGTGCATGGGTCTTTCAGCATGACAATGCTCTAAAACATACTTCCAAGGCAACAAAGCAGTGGCTCAAAAAGAAGCACATTAAGGTCATGGAGTGGCCTAGCCAGTCTCCAGACCTTAATCCTATAGAAAATGTATGGAGGGAGCTGAAACTTCGAGTTGCCAAGTGACAGCCAAGAAACCTTAAGGATTTAGAGAAGATCTGTAAAGAAGAGTGGACCAAAATCCCTCCTGAGAGGTGTGCAAACCTGGTAACCAACTACAAGAAACATCTTACCTCTGTGCTTGCCAACAAGGGTTTCTCCACCAAGTACTAAGTCATGTTTTGCTTGGGGATCAAATACTTATTTTACTCACTGAACTGCAACTCAATTTAAAACATTTGTATCATGTATTTTTTCTGGATTTTTGGTTGATATTCTGTCTCTATCATTTAAAATACACCTATGATAAACATTATAGACCTTTCCTTTCTTTGTAAGTGGGAAAAAAAATCTGCAGGGGATCAAATAATTATTTTCCTCACTGTACATGGGAGTAGTTTTATCTGCCAAAAAAATTGTATTTCTGTCCATCCAGTACTTACATTTACATAGCTCTGCCACACAGCATAGCCCTGTGAGGAGACCAAATCTTTCTATGCTGCAGTTTCACTTTCACTTACAGTTCCCACCCCCACACACACTGTGACTGGCAAGAATCAGCATGCTACCTGTACTCTAGTATACCTGACTGGTTTCTTGTGCTGCTACTCCCTCTATCTGCTGCTTGCATTTAAAATATACATTCAGTTATCTATTAATAATTAGAGAGGTGCATTAATGTGCACCTTTTATAGCCGCCTGTTAAAAAAAAGCTACCACTGCTGACTGGCTCAGGACAAGTATGGAGGTAAGGAGCCCTGACATCACTACTTTATACTTGTTCCAGGTCAGAGACTCCCTAAATTAAATCAAAATGATGACAGACCCTTATGTCTGCACATTCAAAGACAAACAACCATTGCAGTTTTGTCATTTCTATCTTAATGGGTTATTTTAACATTGGGAGTCAGTGAGAGCCATGATATGTTTGCCCCGTTTGCCGCTATCAACAGCTGTAACATATGGAAGAGGATGTGAGCACACACATTGCCTAACCATTTTAAATATGTAGGACTCTTTGAAGAAATTGGGTCTTTGATATTATTCACATAAAGTATGGTGTTTTTCTGAAATTAGTTTATGTTACTGGTTTAGTTGTAAATAATGCTTATGGGACTTTAAGACCCAGGTGGTTACCAAGCAGGTGGAACAATTTTCAAGTTTATTGGAAAAATAGTAATAACTGATTGTAACCGTGTTTAGAAAATTAGGCAAAGTAATACCATACCTCTGTGAAAATGGTATGATCATCAAATCCAGTTGTCACATGATAGTAAAGGAAATCTAATAATGAACCATGTTTCTGCTTCTTGAAGTATTCCTCAATTAATTCTTTCCGGCCTAAGCGGATGACAGAATCAGGTGTGGCACAGTTGAGCAAGACTAGTTCTGCTTTGTTCTTCACATCTTTTATGATTTGAGTATCAGTATGTGATTGCTTCATGTTCTCTGTCACTTGAAGAACAACTGAAGCACAGGTATCTGAATGGTAACCAATAAAAACATCTGAAGGCCTGTAAGTCTGGGCGTTACCAATGGTGTGGGTTTGTTTGCCTTTAGTGAAATCCTCTACCCAGGCTTCCAACTCCTGAAGGATAACCTTGTGTTCTTTTTTCAGGAATGTGTTTATATCCAAGTAATGTTTCTCAAGACGGTTGATGAGGGGAATCGGAAAATCTTTATACACAACTTCTTTTTCTTCAATGACTACCAATCGGAACTTTGGATGGACTCTGCACTTGACACGATGTGTGCCTAAGCCCAGGTCAACATATTTTTGGCCAGCTAGATAGACATAGTATTGGTTCAATGCATCATAGAGGCTTTCATACAGGTTCTGTAGATTAAGCAGTATAACCATCTGTCCAGTTTCCATGCAAATCTTAACACGGTTGATATTTCGGCAAACCTGAGTATATTCTTGGTCCTTTGGAAAACTGGAGCCGAAGATGATTTCTGGTTGTTGGTTTTCCTTGAGGAAAGCTTGCTGAAGGATTTGTAATCCAGCATAGTTTTTGGTTAATATTAACAAGTAACGGCAATCATCACTGTCACTTCTGATGTTCTCCATCACCAAATCTATTGTGTTGCTATATTCTATATTTCTGCTTTCGTCTCCTAGGAAAATTTCCAAAGCATTCACCTCATCTTTCCCGCTGAAATTCCTCAGAACAGCCCTAGCAATTTCATCCAGGGTCAGGTTGGTTTGAGACTGCTTGGTAAAAGCAAACACCATTTTTATCAGACTGTAGAAATCTCGTAGACCAAAGAATTCCTTTTCCTGTTCCTTTAAGGTTTCGCAAACTTTAAGATACGCCTCTGAGAAGTTAGAGAAGTACTGTGAGACTTTACGGAGATTTAATTTATCAGAAGAACAAATTCCCTTTGCACTTTCAATAAGCTCTCTTCTGTTTGGGTCACCTCGGGAAACAAATATCCCTCGGTTCATTTTTGCTGGATCCAAAGCCCAATTAGAGATGCCAATAAATCCAACTTTTTTGTGTGGTGAGGTGTCATCATTATGTTATCCATGGTGAGCTCATATGTTTCATCGGGGTCCATTGGCCACTGAATTCCTAGCACCAAACATAATCTGCTTATTTTCTCATGTCTGGGCAACTGGTCAAAATCAGTATTGAATGGCACTCTCTGAAGCTTCAAGCCTTCATAAAGTTGCGCGGACATAACATTTTGTCGGATGATGCTGTTATTTCTAGGATTGATGGCATCCACCCCACCAGCATTATTTGGCTCCAGGTGGAATCCTATAAATGTCATGGATGCATGGTCTTCATTAAAGAATATATAGGGATGTGGCTCAGACTCCCATCTCTTGCGCAATAAGAAAGGTACCAGGTCTTGTTCTTTGACTCCATCAAGATTAATCTCATATCTTCCTGGGCTTTGATCTGCAATGTGCAAAGAAGGAGTGGCAAAATCCTTTGCCATTAATATCATAAAATTCACCACAAAGTTTTTGAATCCTTGCAGTGTATCTCCAACAAACTCATGGTTACAGAACACTGAAGCTTCACAGTCTCTTAGCTGAAGGTTTAGAAACCATGCAAAGTTCCGGAGTTCAGACCATGAAGGGTCAACTATGCCACAGTAAAGAAGAAATATCTGCAGACATTTTGCTGGGTCTCCTTCGGTGTGGCCTTCTATGTACACAAACATATCTAGATTTTGTTCCTGGTCAAAGCGAATCAGGTATTGGTACGGTCTCTGGAAACATTCACTACGAAATTCCTCAATGTCCATTCCTGGATCTCCACAATCAATTACATCAGTTTGTGTAGTTTTTGTGAGAACCTCTTTTGGAGAGCAGCAGTAAATCTTAGGGAAGAAGTCAATGAAACCGTTTTGCACAATTCGAGGGACCTGCAGGTAAGAGAAAAAATAATAATTCTCAGTCAGACAACAAACAACATTAGCTGTGAATGGTTTTTCTTAATTTAAAGAAAACTGCTTCTTCAAAGCTAACATAAACCCCATTATTTAAATCAACTCAAAACAACTCCCTTGATGTCCTTTCTGTGACTCACATTGCAGTTACAGTGGTTCTGCAGCATCCTCCCACCTCTCTCAATGATAGTGTCACACAGTAATTTTGCTTGTTGCAAGCCCACTAACACCAACCCTTCCGGGTCAATGTAACCTCCCAACCCCCCCATCCTGGTGACATACATTCTTTCCCATCCGCCTCACCCAGTAACGCTGGTAAAAAATCCTTATGCTTTCCCATTATGCAAAAGCTCACTTTGCATGTTTTATTTAAAACACATGCAATTGTGTTTTAAAAAAAGACATGGCTGCATTCATTTTTATCTGCTTATTAGCTTTAACCAGTTGACATCCGCGGTGTTAAACCCCCTTCCCATCCAGGCCATTTTTCAGTATTCAGCGCTGCGGTACTTTGACTGACATTTACTCCGTCATGCAACTCTGTACTGAAATACATTTTATATCATTTTTTGGTGACAGATAGAGCTTTCTTTTGGTGATATTTATTCACCACTGGGGTTTTTATTTTTTACTATATTAACCAGTTGACATCCGGGGTGTTAAACCCCCTTCCCATCCAGGCCATTTTTCAGTATTCAGCGCTGCGGTACTTTGACTGACATTTATTCCGTCATGCAGCGCTGTACTGAAATGAATTGTATACCCTTTTTTGGGGACAGATAGAGCTTTATTTTGGTGGTATTTATTCACCATGGGGGGGGCAAAAAAACGAGCACATATAGATAGCTATAGAGCCGCCGATCGTCTATATGTGAAACACCTGGTAATGGGTGTTTGCATTGGTCGGGTTTGCATTGGTTGGGCAACCCGCCAATGCTGCAGTGCCGTCCGTCCGTTTTTTTACAACGGGCGGACGGCAACTGGTTAAAGCAGGTATAAAGCCTAACTAGTTGATATTTATTTTGCTAAAGCACTGGGTAACATAATTATTGCCATAGCTTTTGGGATTTTTTTTTCTTTTTGAAAATCACATTTTCACATTTCCTTTTTTAAATATCAGTATAGCTGATATTCTCCAGCCTCTATGCAGCTACTTCATGTGACTACATAGATTCGCTCCAGCGCCGGTTATATGTCATTGATCTAGACAGGCTTTCTGATGGTGAGAATGGGAGAACATTTTTGCACAATAATCATTGGCATAGCTGCTTATAGTCACTACTAGAAGTGTATGTGACAGGGTAACAATGCGGGAACACAATTAGGAGACAGACTGTTGTCACCCTGTAACAGGAGGTTCCTAAAGGAAGAACTTTATGGCAGGATCTCCATGTCTGGCAACCCAAAATTCTGGATTTACCCTCACATTCATTACCGTTAAAGGAGAACTATGAGGTGAGTGATTTTCACTCAAACTCATAGTTCCAACCCAAGTGTGACAATGAAACTATCACACGTCGGCTCAATAGATTGAGAAATGAGCGAACACATACTGTCGCTCGCTCACTTCTCGATTATCTCCCTGCAGATAATCGAGAAGTGAGTGCTGGTACGGCTGGCTCTGCCTCTAGATAGGCAGATCCAGCTGTCAATCACGCAGCTGGGTGGATCTCGACAGTAATGTCAGGAACCGTCCCGGCTGCGGCGGTCTCAGTATACCGAGAGCTGTAGCTCGCAATGTACTGAGCTAGTATATGTCCTCCCTGTAACCCTTAGGATAACTATGGGGAAAAACACTTACCTCATAGTTCTCCTTTAACACTGGTGATTAAGAGAGTTAGAGAGAATGAATCTTCCTAATAGGGACACAGACAGCAATAAAAACCCAGCAGTGGTTCTTTCCCTGCACCACTCTATCCAAATCTAAAAGAAAGTTTTTCCTATTTTTATACCTTAAGACGTTGAGAGAAACAGTCATTATTTTAAACATTAAATACAAATATAATCAAATCTTACAGATTTGAATTGTTTTCTAAATAAAATGTCTGAAGATTCCAAAATCTCAATGATGTACAGGTGACTGGGCAGACGCTTCCATATTCTTCCCTCAGAATCCATCAGATATTGCAGGACAAGGAGTTTAAACAGGAACTCTGAAATGCCACTTTTCACCTGTATTAAACAAACAAATATATCACAAGATGAAATACCACAGGCCTGACAGAGGTCGTATTTCATTCTAAACAAACATATCCTTGGTCTGAATACATTATACATACTTCTCTCTGTGTTATGTCAAATAATTGTGCATACTGGTCTCTGTCCTATGCCAAATAAATTGTACATATTGGTCTCTGTCCTATGCCAAATAAATTGTACATATTGGTCTCTGTCCTGTGCCAAATAAATTGCACATGCTGGTCTCTGTATTATGCTAAATAATTTGCACATGCTGGTCTCTGTATAATGGTGGCCATACACCTTAGTCTTGCGATGGTTGTAAAGTGATTAAAAAAACTTACGATCTGCCCATCTTGGACAGGCAGATCGTACTCTCGATCATCGCAAGCGCGCTTACGAAGGGGCGGGCTTACGATGACTGCAAACGGGCAGTGTTCGGCAGTTGTCGAACCAGCAGGCCACTAACTCGCCGAGAATCGTACAATTCCCGGCGGGTTTTTTAGCCTGCTGGTTCGACGGAAGACGTGCGACCGTACAGTAGAAACGGTTGCACGCCTTCCATACACTGCACGATTCTCGTATGATCGCGGGATTTCCCGCGATTCTCGTACAAGAATCGTGCAGTGTATGGGCACCTTTATGCTAAATAAATTGCACATGCTGGTCTCTGTATTATGCTAAATAGACTGCACATACTGGTCTTTGTTGTGTGTTTATTGTAATTGTGAACAATCTCCGAAAACATGTGTGCATGCATATTAACCCCTTCCAGACCGATGACAGGATTACCATACTTCAATCTGTTAAGGGCCGGTGACAGGATAATCTCGTCATGCGGTACAATGAGCACTAATCCATGAAGAGACAAGCAGCTTATTTAGTGCTGTTGATGGGTGGTCACAGTTCTGTGAGTACAGCCAGAACTGAGCGCTGTAAACGCAGAGCTGTGAAGGTTACATGGCTCAGCTATCAGCAGTGATTTGTAAACAGTTAGCCCGGCTGTGTTTACAAATTGATACAAAGGGGGTGATTTACTAACCTAAAACACACGCACGCACCAGGTGCGTGTGATTTTCACACAGCAAAACGTATTTATCAACCAAAAAGTCTCTAAAAGCATATTTCCACTAATGCCATATATGGAAAAATCATGCACATGATGCATATATAATGCTGCTTCACAGTTTAGACAAAAATGGTTAGCTCATGCATTTACATTCCTGCATTCATCAACGCAAGCAACACAACATAGAGCTAATTTACACAACATCACCTTGCAATTCATGCAGGGCTTTGTACAACACACCTGCTGGGTGTGTACACACTACAAAGGTGTTTAGATTCCACCCATAGATCATGCTGGGAGGGAACACACTACAGAGGTGTATACATGTTTGTGGTGTGTTTATACGGTTAGTAAATCAACCCCAAAGTATCTCTAAGCAGAATACTGTATTTTACTTTGAAATACAAATTATCAAAGCCCCTGTAAGTGAAAAAATAACTCCTTATTGCCCCCTGGTTTTAAAAAAAATAAAATAAATAAAATAAATAAAAAACTAAAGTTTTATAAATTAAAAAAAGTTTTAAAAAGTCAAAAAAAGTTTTTTCAAAATAGGTTCAATAAAAAACATATAAGAAAATATAGTGCTGAAGAGGCTAGATAGGAGACAAACATACCACATTCTAAAATTGTTCCACACTAAAATTGTATTTCACTCCTTGTATTTTGTGATCTATAACTCCCAAAATAAACTGAAATCCCAGACATATGTTATGCCTTATAAATCAAGACAAATGTAAAAATATATTATTCATTACTTTCTGTTAGCTACACTAATTATGTACACATTATTACTGCCAAAACTGTGAAAAATATATTTTTTCCCATTTGTTTTTGTATTTTTTAGGAAAAACAAGAATTTCTACATGCATATGTCCCATTATCTTAAACCCCATTTTGTCTTTTAAAAAGCGGTATGTAATATGTGTAGATGCAATGAATGAGTAAGATGAAAATTATGGTTAAACCAACACATAGCAAACATGGCAAAATTGCTCTGGTCCCCAGAAGCAAAAACATTTTCTGAATCTGTGTCACTAACATATGTTTGTGAAAAGGACACCGCTCATATTCATATGCCCAAACTCATCCGTCCTGTCCAAAAAAGCCAATGTATGTAAAGCAGCACTCCACAGTCAGGACCTTGATGTAGAAAAGTTTATTCCCAGGAATCTAAAACGTTACAACCATAACAAGATCCTCTATGATTAAGCCTTTTTGGTGAAACATCTTAAGAGCCTGTGGATCTTGTTATGCTTGTAACATTTTAGATTTCTGGTAATAAACATTTCTACATCGAGGTCCTGGCTGTTGAGTATGTCATTAAAAGTGTTTTGTTATATATGTTCAGCAAGTAAGAAAAAATGATGATCCTGCCAGAAATCATCTGAGCTCATAACATCCTGTACAATCTCCCTGCGCTTACTATTATCAGTTAGTTGTTCCAAGTTCTCTCTGTGGTTTTCCAATCTCTTACCGTGATGCTATAGAGATAAAGAGATGGGAAAGTGTTCTGAAGTCTGAACACTTTCTGTGATTCTGCTGCTCCGTCACAGATACAGTTCAGTGAGTGATGTCACCCTAGGTCAGGAAGTGTGTGTTCTTGTTAGGACCACCAAGTAAAAATCAATAAAGGGGGCGTGGCTTACCACCTCATGTGAGGGTACACAGATTCAGGAGCTCCTGGGCAAATCCTCCAAATCCTGCTATTATCTTGGGCCATCCTCTTCTACACTCACCTGCATCGGCTTCGAGTACACTCCTCTGGCTCCCCTCTGCACTCTTATTTGTGTGGGTCGACAATGTGGTGCATCATAACCAAGAAAAAGGATTTAGGGGTAGGGTCTGGCATATCCATCCAAAATGACGGCAGCAGTGGCGGAATTGCCCAGGCCTCTAAGACGCCGTCCAAACCTTTTCAAGAGCACACTAAGGAGGTGGCAGTGTGCCTGTAGAGATTTGCCAGGGAGGCTCTGGGGGAAGATGCCTCGCTCCCTTTCCCTTGAACGATCTCTGTGGCCCCAGAGAACGGGATGATACTCCACTACCTCACTCTGTTGTCAGTGGCTCTGTGAGTACCTTAGTGCCCCTTGACCACCGCACCCATGCTTGCAGATGTGTACTCAGCTGTTCAAATGTGTAACTTTTCCCTGGCTTCACTGTCAGGGGGTCCAAAATTATGCTCTTTCCTAAATTCTCCCAAGAAGTACAAAAAAGCGTGAAGAAAAAACTGGGTCAATTGAAACTACAATATTCCATGATCTACCGGGCCAGACTTCGAGTTATTGCAGATGGTACTACTGTCTTCTGTGACTCCCCCACTTCTGCCTCCACCTGGTTGGACAGGAGGTCTCACAGACGCAATGGTACCTGATCGCTTTGGTTCCCATGGACCCTGATGGTCTGATCACAAAGTCTCTGTAATGTCTTAGAATGTCCGTGGTTTGGGTGACAGTATCAAGAGACAAGCGATTTTCGCCTCTGTTCTTTCACACAAACCCCTGTAATGGCAGAATGGCACGAGACAGGGGTGCTCGCTGTCGCCTCTGCTCTTTCTGCTATCACTGGAGCCCTTCCTCCAGAGAATCTGCTCTGATACTAACATCTGCAGGTTTCCTACACCTTGCAAGGAGTTTAAAGTGGAAGTTTTCACAGATGACCTGCTCTTTTTCCTGACCCAACCGAGGATATCTCTTCCCAACCTTCGTAGTGCATTCCAAGAATTTGCATCATTTTCATTCTTTAAAATTAACCTTTCCAAATCTGCCGCACTCAATATTTCCCTCCCAGATGAGATGGTCCACTTTTGTAAATCCCACTTTCCTTTTGGTTGGACTGACTCAGCCTTTACTTACCTAGGGATTAAACTCCCCTGCAATTTACAAAATCTCTACTCCTTCAATTTTGTCCCCCAATGTTCCCAACTGAGACTAGATTTGAAGGAGTGGAATAAATCGCTTTACTCTTGGTTTGGCTAAGCAGCCATGCTAAAGATGTCTGCCTTTTTTTCTTCTGTTAACGAAATGTTTCGAACCGTCCGTTGGAACAACTGCTCCCCATGGATTAGCACCCTGACCCTCACCCACTCTAAATGAACAGAGGGTATAGGTCACCCACAGACAATGTTACTACTGGGCTTGACACTTATGGATCACATGGATCCAACGCTCCTTTCTCCCCACTCAAATGCTATCCCACCCTACAGTGGGCACTTCTTTGCCACGGTCTGTGGAAAAACGACCCTTGCCTCCGTTCTGTGCCCTATCACACCGGTCCTTGGGCTCCTGATGCTGCCCCACCTGCGAAAATGTTCTTCGATCCTCAGGGTGAGTTTAGATACCATTCCGACTTAAATTCCTTGAATCCTACTGAGCCTATGCCATTGTGGACCTACCTACCACTTCGCCATTTCCTCAACTCCCCTGGGAATAGACACCATTTTACATGCCTTTTAACTCCATTCGAAAAGCTATGCACTTCATCCCACAGAGTTGTACACACGATCTCGGCGATTTACTCCTTCTTGAACGATTACTCTTCTCTTCTGCCCACACCCTCCACTCGAGCGTGGGAACATGATCTTTCATCACTCTATTCTCACAGGACTGGGAAATAATTACAATTTTGTTGCTGGCTAGCTCATTAAATGTAAAAATTCAGGAGACCAATTACAAACATCGCTCAAGGTGGCACAAAACTCAAGCGATACTCCATCGTATCTTCCCGGACGTTCCCGATACATGTTGACGATGCTCCCATGATGTCGGCACACTCCTTCACATTTGGTGGTCATGCCCCTTCATCTCCTCCTTTTGGACAAAGATACACCCTCTCATTAGAACCACAACCGGTATTTCACTAGAGTTCTCCCCAGCCTTCTTCTTATTATACCATTTTGATGCTTCCTACTACATCTCCAAAACCTCCCTGACACTACACCTGTTGAAAACATTGATACTTAGACATTGGAAGTCGCCCCATCCACCAACTGTCAGGGAATGGCTATCTCGAGTGGATGCGGTGGCAAATATGGAGGAACTCATTTTCTCCTGTAAGGATGACATGTCCCGTTACCTAAGAACCTGGACAGCATGGCATTTGTTTAAAGACACGGATACCTATGCTGCTCTTACTCAGTAAATGCTTGCCTTCTTTCCTCTGTCTGTCACACCCTTGTTACCCCCTTTTTTTCTCCTCATGCTTCCCCCCTCTTACCCGCCCTACTTTTCTTCCATTTTCTTCCTTCTTTTCCAGCATTTTCTTGCCTTCTTCCCTTTCAACAGGATGCCCGGACAGGAGCCTCTCCCCTTCTTTTCCTCTACTGCTCACGCTCCTCTAGCCTTCCCCACTACCAACTCCCTCTTCCTCCCCTTCAACTTGTCCCTTCTACTGTTTTCTCTTTTTCCTTCTCCTCCTCTTTTTCTTCTTCTGTACCCTCTCTTCATGTTGGACCTTCCTATACCTTTTCTATATTCAGAAATTATTTTCACTCACAGGGAGGTCCCCGAATAATACCATTCCCATCCCCTACCCTTCCACCGCCTGCAAGTGCCATAACAACTTTTTAGCATCACTGAGGCTCGAATGTCGCTCATTTCACCTGCCTACCTCATGAGGTCAAATACTATTCGCCTCTCCGTGAATTCCTCCCACCCCCCTCTTGTATTGTTTTTATCCTGTCTTGTTGTTCATTTGAACTTGCCAATTAATTGTATCCTTGACTCTTTCTTTGTGAAAGAAAAGTTTTTGTTTACTTTATTAGGCTAGTGTATCACATAGTAAGTGTATTTGGTACTTGTTTAGGTTGTCATACAGGAGCCTTTAGTTGAATCGTATTTTCCTAAAAAGACAACTGTCAAATTTTAGCTGACCAACTTCACTTTTTGTTTCAAGCTGAAAAGTTAGACACAGACAAAGTAAATAAAGCTGAATAAGGTTGAATAATATAGCATAATTTATAACTGAACCAGTGGCTTCACAAGGGGGGTGCCGGTGGTGCGGTCCGCACCCGGGTGTCACCATTGCAGGGGTGACACGAAAATGACTGGCAGTGTCTTTTTGGTGTCACCCCTCTCTAAAAAGGCGGACACTCGGTCATGGACCGAGAGCCCGACAGCGTCAGGAGAGAGGAGGGGACCAGGCGGCATACCTCATCCCGCCGGGTGAACGTCCCCTCCTCTCTCTGCCGGCGTCCATCAGCAAGATGGCCGCCGGCAGGCATCAATCAGGCGATGACGTCATGTGGTGATACCCGGCCTCGGGACGCCCCTGAACTGAACATACTGACTCTTGCCTATTACCAGACATGAATGGATTTTTAAAACTGTAAAGCCAAGAGAGCTACTAGTAGTGCTCTAAGTCTCCATTCACACCAAGGCATTTGGAATTTCCGTGTGTTTTATGTATACAAACACGCACGTTTTTGTGCGCACATTTAAATGCAGAATTTTTAATATACACACGCACAAAAACGCGCGTCTGCAGGTACACCACAGTCGGTTGTGGACAGAACGCGCTGAAATATGCCAAAAAATTGAGCATTTACTTTTTCCCGTGTTGCATATTTTTGCGCATGTGTACAACCGTGCAGGTGTGAACAATCCCCAGAGGAATGCACTGCTTTTAACAATTTTAGACACGCATCTGTACGTGTGTAAACCACCTATGTGTAAATGGAGGTCTCACAGGAAAGCTGTTTATTTTTTCTCGTCCCAGCACTAATCAATTTATCAGCATTTATGATACAACAATTTGTACTTTGCTCAGATATTATTTTACTTACAGAAGATGTAATGTCGATATGGAATATTATAGGACAGCTCTTCGATTTCCCATTTAGAAAAGGAAGTAAGGTTTCCAATACTTTGTTCTCATCCACCTCTGGCTTAATGAGCCGAATTATTTTAAGAAGTGGCTTTTTACTTGAAAATTTTGACTCAAGTCTTTGGTAAAGCCTTTTCACATACAGAGATTTTCCTGGGGTAAAATAAACATTTAATAGTGTTATACCGGTAACCAAGTACAACTATACTCTATTTTAAGTTATATGTCAATTCATTCAAGAAAAACTATTAAAACTATGCAAAACTTTCAAAGTTGCGGTCTTCACATGTGTGAGTGCATTTTCATGCATTGTTTAGCTTGTTGTTCATGCATTATGCATTTTTGCTTTGGTCATTGAAGGAGAAATACAATATATGTTGCCAGAAGGTAGGGGCTTTTTCATGCGCTAAAACGCATGAAAAGGCATGTTACAAGTGTTATTTGCACATTTATCATGCGTAAATTGCAATTCCATTTTAAGTCCATAGGGATAAAGACGTACCATGTAGCACCAAAAGGAGCTCCTGCACCTTTTTCGTAATCACACTGCAGCCCAACACATAGCTGTGAACAGGCCCCATAGACAATGAGCCGAAGCACGTGAAATCACATAAGTGTGAATGTGGACTTGCTCTTGGCCTGTAGTAATGTTTGCACTCTCTTTATTGTACAGGGAAGACTGTAGACAGGCTAAATTAAAGCAAGTCAATATTTACACTGCCACAGTCCTGTAATGAGAATTCACAAAGCATATAAAACTGGCGGAGGTAGGAAGTTATACTTGTGAAGTAGGTTGGTGTCCCTGGATAACTACAATGATTTACAGCCAGTTTTATTATAAAGTATTTCAAGAATTACACGTTTCTAAGCTTTATCACTTGATGTTTACTCTTTATTTTACAAATAAAAATAAACTTTATTACAGAGTGTATCCATGATCTGTTTGAAAGGCATGCTGGGATTTTTAATAAGGCCAACAAACTACCTGCATACTCGACAGGAGTGTTTTCCCTCCTATGAACTGAGTGTAATCTGATCTCTCCTGATTTACTTCCTAGCTGTAGAAGGATCCTTTATAAAGCTGTTGGGTTACACAGAGATTACCACATTCTAATTAAAGTAGTTAGAGGTGCACCGAAATGGAAATTTCAAAACCGAAATATAAAAATTTGAGGACATTGTGTGTTTACAATAACTACAACTATGAATGAAAAGGAGGTGACGTAGATCAATTCCCATTCATTCATAATTGAGGATATAGTAACCATACTATGTCCTCAATTATTTACAAACACTCAGTGATCACTGATCGCTGAGTGTTTGTACCGCTCTCCTCTCTGACACGCTGTCACAAGAGGCTGAACAAGCCACGCAGGGAGGAGAGCTCATTCTCCTGTGACAGAGCAGGCTGTCTCCACCCCCACACCGCTCCCCGGACTGTGATAAGAGGCTGAGCGGTGTTGGAGGAAAGACGCCGGCCACTTCCAGCGCTCTGCCGGCTGTCACACTTTCTCTCCTCCCCGCTGGGACACAGAGCAACGCCCAGCGCGGAGGAAAGAAAGCAGGGATGCGCCGTTGTATTGGCAGGAAAATTGCCCTTTTGGCATTTAGCCAAAAGTGCCATTTTCTGCCAATATGTTTTGGCGGCCGATATATCGGTGCATCCCTAAAAGTAGTAAATATGAAATTCAAATGTATATATCTATGTAAATCTCTAATGTTCCTGTAAAATCAAGTTTGGTCTTTCCCTCTCCTAAGCCCCCCTTTACCAGAAAGCTGCCAATCACATGGAGGATTCAGCCACCTATATCTCTGGATATACTGATTGGATTACTTTTAATACCTTATGTATTTTTTCTTAATATGCCAAGTATGGATTGCTCATGTTTGTGAATAGTTCACTTTAAATAAGACAATGAGAACTTTAAAGAAGGGTGCTGGAAACTATGGAAGTCTTGCCCTAAATCAGGGGTCTCAAAGTACCAGCCCTCGGGCCAATTCCGCAATTGTTAATTGTGGCCCACAGCCAGCTGACAAGTCAAACACACACGTTCACGGACCGTGTACCTGACTTGCGGGAGCTGCTTCTGGCTGTGCCAGCGCTCAGTTCCTTTTGGCCGGCGCAAAGGTGCAGACCTTACTTATCAACCACTGGATCCCCAGGGATTGTGCCTTCTCCCTGCAAAAACATAAGCAGGTGAGGGGGCTCTTTCTTCTATTTTATGTGTGTGCACGGGAGGGGGGGATGTATTATTGTGTATATGTGTGTGTGGGGGGTATTTCTCCGTATTTGAGTCTGTATATAAGGCCCCTTTTACACCTGTAAGTTTAGGTGTGTTAATGGATTCCTGCGTCAGGAACTTGCGTTTTCTTGCAGCAGGGATCCATAATCTGGTGTTTACAAGGGGCAACTGTCACCCGTTCATTAATGATTGCGTGCATGCCGCATTTAATCGTATGTGATATGATTACATGCATTTAGAAAACATTCATTCTCTCCCTGGATGCATGATCAATGCGACCAGAGATAGTGGTTGATTCCTAACCACATGTAATCATATCACATAAGATTACAAGCGATGTGCAGGTATTTACATGCAGCGGCTGTCACCCGATCATTAACTTGAATGGGTGACAGACAGCTCCTGCTTGTAAACGTTAGATTAGGGTTTCCTGCTGCAGGAAAACGCAAGTTCCTGACACAGAAATCCCTACTCGCACCTGAACTTACAGGTGTGAATGGGACCCTATTGTGTGTATATTAGTGTTTTTATTTCTGGGTGGGAATGGGGAGGTGCGTATTTCTGTTTGTGCGTATTTCTATGTGTGCGTATTTTTGTTTGTGTGTATTTTTATTTGTGCGTATTTCTATGTGTGCATATTTCTGTGTGTGTGTGGGGGGGGGTGTGTTCGTATTTCTATGTGTGAATGAATATGTGACTCTGTTGGTCCTTTATGATTAAATTTAAAACCTGTGGGAAAGAAAACACACATATACGGACACTGCAAACATATACCCATGTATACATACTTATATGGCACACAGAGAAACATGAACACACATACCAACATCACTCACAGAAATCCCGACAGTACACACAAAGCAACACAAAAATATCTTGACATTGCATACAAAGAAACCATCACAAACACATACTGACATTTTAAACACATGCAGACATCAGCACTGGTACCGCCTATGGTTAAAATTTATTTTGAAGTATGAAGCTTGGCAAGTGGCCCCCATGGGAAAAACAAATTAGTCCAGTGGCCCTGAGTGAATTGAATTTGAGACTCCTGTCCTAAATTTTACAGATTCACAAAAGAAAGATACAGGCAGCCACAAGGATTAAGTAAGGAGTAGGCTGTAAACCTTGAGTACATTTAATTAAGGCATGTAAATGTGGCCCTAGTGAAGGTAGCAGCTTTGGCCCCATTATCCCTTCAGCTGACTGGCATAGCCTGCCCCAAGAAACCAACTGTCTACAGACAGGTGCACAAAACTGGTCAGTTGAGCTATCCCTCTGGTTTACTAAAGGAGCATTAAGGTTGTAGCTGGACTCCGTGGACATCCACAAGGTCCTAGGCTACTGCCAAGATTGCTCCTCAGGACGATCCGGCTTTGTGTTGACCAAAGTATACTTTTAAAAGGTTTTCCCATTTTTTTTTAAAAAGCCAAGTTTTGCTTAGGACCTCTCAGTTTAGTAACATGGAGGGACTATTTATTTCAAAACAAAACAAGATCTTTTTTCACTGTTTATACCTAAGTACATCCATGAACATATTATACTGCCCATTAGGGCCTGTTCACACCAGATGCAGTGCGCTCCGGCCCGATTCTAGCCAGAATGCACAGCCTTGCATTGCGGCCGGCTCCCTTTTTGTGGGGCAGGTGGGGGGGGCGTCGCGGGCCATTGAAGTGAATGGCACCGTAGCCACGCCCTCTGGCCGCAATGCAATCAGCTGCACGGGATCAGTGCGTAGTCAAAGTGCGATCAAAATAGTGCTTGCAGCATTATGATTGGACCTGACCGGACCGCAGGCATAATGTGCCCTGCGATCCCGTGCGGCCGGTCGCATTGCAGCCGGAGGGCGTGGCTACGGTGCCATTCACTTCAATGGTCCGCCACGCTCCCTCCTGCCACACAAAAAAGTGAGCCGGTGTTCTATCAAAGTTTGTGACTACGTTAGAATGTGTGACCGATGACGTGGTCACACATTCTAACGTAATCCCGCCCGCTTTTTCGGCGGTGGAATATGTGACCGGCAATTCCAACGCTTTCTCAGCTGTTTCAGGGCAGATTGGCATCACAGATGGTATGTGCAGGAGAACCGATTTGCCCTGAAACAGCTGATCGGTCCTGAAATGTCACTTCTATCCGACTTTATGGAATGTGAGATCGCACTCACAAAGTTGGATAGAAGTGATATTTCAGGACCGATCAGATGTTTCAGGGCAGATCGGTTCTCCTGCACATACCATCTGCCATGCCGATCTGCCCTGAAACAGATGAGAAAGCATTGGGATTCTTCACCTTTTGACGGTCACATATTCCACCACCGAAAAAGTGGGTGGGGTTACGTTAAAATGTGCAACGACATGACGGGTCACACATTCCAACCCAGTCACAATCTTTGAAAGAACTCCGGCCGCAATGCGAGGCAGTGCGTTCTGGCCAGAATCGGGCCGGAATGCACTGCATCTGATGTGAACGGGCCCTTTTTGATAAATTCCAAACTCTTACCACTGGTTGTATTGCTTATACTTACCAACTCCAGCTCGCTTGGATGACACAATTCCTGCAGTCATTCCATTCTTAAACACGGAAGCAGCTGAAACCACTTTAGAACCGACTTTAAAATGTGTACACAGGTAACGTTGAATCTCCACAGGTTGCATTTGGGGGATCACATGAATCTTGAATTGGCTGAAAACTGAAGGAATGTAGCAACCCTCTCGATCAGAGTTACATATGATTACAAGATTGTACTTTTCTATGCACTTGGCCTGTAGTTGTTGAAATAGCAGCTCAGACTTATACCCAACATCATAACTTAGCTGGTCTGCATTAATCAAACTATAAATCTTCTTCCCATTGTACCCGCATGTCAAACATCTACGAAGAAACAAGGCCACCTCTTCAAAGGTGGTATGAGGCGTGCATAGGAGAACTTCATCGTAGGATGGCAATGGCTCACCAGAGCTGTGCATGTAAACTGCTATAGCACAGGACAAAATTTCTGATGAAGGACAAAGAATCAGATTGGGCCGGCCAGGCTGCAAACTTGGATGAAGGTCACGGACTATCCATTTTTTATTTAGTTCAGCCAGAGCAGCTAAGCTAGTACCCAGGGCATCCAAATCCAGGCAACCTGGGAAGAAAGAGTTCATGTTATCCATAGAGAACTTCCAAACCAGCTCCAGTTTATTTGAAACATCACTACAGTCTTCAAGATCCATTGAAAAGTCCATCATATCTGGTTGATTTACAACAGTTAGATTAGGAGAACCGGCCTTTGGAAAGTAGAAGGGGGTGATGGTGTCTAGTTTTGCACAGTCAGGTTTAATAAAAGACAACATTACAAGAGCCTCCTCACTGATTTCCCTCATCTGATACTGCTGGCACAGGTATACCAGCTGCTCTGCTGTGTAGTAGTTTAGGTAGTATAGCTTGGATCTCTTCTTGTTGACAAAGGCCAGCCACTCTTCCAACAATCTCTCCATGGTTTTGCAGATGCTTGGAAGCAAGTCAGAAAGAGCTTCTTCTCCTTGAAGTTCATCAATTCCCTCAACATCAAAGTTCATAAGAACACTGACTGTAGCATTATCTGCACATTGGATCACTGCCTCCCACGTTCTAAACAGCATATTTCCAGCCAGATAGAGGTCAATAAAAGAGCCAGCCAGCCTCTGAACATTAGAAAATATCTGGATAAAAAAAAGACATGGTTTCAAATCAATGATGTATTGAATGTACTTAAAGTAGTATTAAATGTGCAAACTTTTTTCAATAATGAATCCAGATCAAACAAATATACACTCCCCCGGAAAGTATTTCTTTACATCTTTTAACTTACAGTCATCATTTTTCTGAACAGCTGGCTCCAACTCTCTCAGCTCTGCTTCCCTGAACTTCCTGTCCAATGCAGGATCACAAGGTGCAGCGCAGCCGCTAGCAGCTGTCTATCTACTAGCTTGAAGAAGGTGCCAAGGGAAGAAGAAGGAAGGTGGAAGGAGGAAAGGGGAAAAGGGAGGAGGGAGAGGCCTGCATTGCTGTGCCAATGTGTTTGTTAAAGCACACACATCTTACTAGCACACACAAGGGTGGCTCCATAAGACCCTGGAAGGGAAAAGAGCCACCCTAAGACCCACCCACCCTAAGGCATATTGTATTTCGGCAGCCCATTTATTTTAAATGGGCTACCAAACCACTTCAGTGCACCTAAAACTGCCCCTGACCCTTGTTTAGCAACATAGTGCACCACAATGCATGATAGTGAATCACGTGTTGCTTTAGTGCCTTTTGGCTAGAGAAGAAATTAAACCACATAGCCAGTTGCTGTGGGCAACTTCATGTCTAATTTTGTTTTTACATATAAAAAGCGCGTTTCCTGCTAGTTCAGAATATCTAAATACGTTAATGTGAATAGTCTAGGCACAGGGTCGCTTCAAGTACTATGTTACTGTGTATATTTAGCTTTTTCCTTCAAGATCTCAATTTCTTCAGAAGTCAAAGTCCTAAATGACTGGGCAGCACTGTACATTCCATTAAATCAGAACTCTCAAGTATTTCACTCAGCTTATATCAATCCATATAGTCTTTACCTCCGAAAACTTGTCAACTTCCACGTTGCCTTGTTCTCCCTTGCTTGACATTAGCATTAGTTTGTTAAGCAATTCCTTCAGCTCCTCTAGTGTGTACCAACGATTGTTCTCATTCTCTGGTAGAACCAGGTTCAAAACATTGTCAGGTGTAATCTGTGGAAAATTAATAGATAAGGGTACAACCATAACTATTTTTAAAAAGTAAATTATCTCAAGCAAGAAGAAGCTGTAGTCCCCAAGTAATTCCTGTCTCTGGATTTAGTAAATGTGTTATATGACCTGTGGTCAAAACATGCTGGTTCTAGAGAATGCACTCGTTTTTAAGTTTAAGTTTCCTGCTGCCTAAGTTTCATTTAAAAAAAAAGTAGTTTCTCTCAGCAAGAAGAACCATGTTGAAGTAAGCAAAATAGATTGTTTTGTAAATAGATTTGACTGTAGTAATTTTCGGACTGATCAGGTGATGACCTCATGCCTATAGGTGCCTGGAGATGATGTTGGCCAGCCATTCATGGAAGTAACAAACCATCAGAAATGTAAAATCCTGTTTCAACCACTATTGTTCTACCCCCCAATAAACCCCCCAGCAGCGCCATCGCGTCTTCTGTCCATTTCCATAATAGTATTTTTGTACTCACCATAAAATCTATTGGAGTCCATTGAGGGACACAGGAACTATTTCACCTTCAGGTTATACTGCCCCTACAGGAGAATTGGGCACTGGCAAACCATAAAACTGTAGGACTGTCCAGGATAACCTCCCCTACTAACAGCATGGTTCAGTTTTGTAGCAAATCAGTACTAAGGGCACGATTGGAAATACAGAAGGTGGAACCTGTGTGCCTCAATGGACTCCAAGAAAAGGATTTTACAGTTAGTACAAAAATCCTTTTTTTCTTTCTCATCCATTCAGGGTCAAAGGCTGCCTTTCAATCATTGGGGTGTCCAAAAGCAGTTCAGCTAAAGAGTGGCAAACACAGCAAGCAAACACCAACAGGTCCAAAAAGACAGCGACTGGGGACTGCCTGCAGTGCAAAGAGCCACATGAAGGACCGAACCTGACATCAGATAAAACCAAAACGACTACATGGAACTTGCAAATCTAAGAAACATTTGTTTGATGCGGAAAAGCCCAAGAAACATCTAGTAGAGATTGCAATGACAGGAAAAAGTGCAACCTGATCCCTCAGAGCATAGGTTTGGATATTGGTCTGCCTGAGCCACCTAGAAATGGTGAAACCAGAAGCCTGACCACCATTCTGTGATCAATCCAGGATGACAAAAATAGAATCGGTCTTCTTAAAAGAAACAGTAGCTGAGTGATAGACTCTCACAGCCCAGACCAAATCCAGACAATGGAGGGAAATTTTCTTTTGGGCGAACTGGAGCCGGACAGAGGGGCAGAAGAATGATATCCTGGATGGGAGCAAAAGGCAGAAACTACCTTAGGCAAGAAAGAAGTCATATGCCTCAACACCACCTTGTCTCTATGCAAAACCAACAAAGGTTACTTTCAGGATAAAGCTGCCAGTTTAGATATTAGCCACAAAGAATAGCTCCTTGTAAATGAATGTAGAGAGAGAGGAATGTATCTGAAAGGTTTAAACAGCAGGTTTCCTAAGGACACAGAGAACGAGATTCATATTCCACAGAGTCACAGGGAACAAATGGGGGAGTTACATCGGAGACCACTTGTACAAAGGTCTTAAGCAAGGATTGAGAGGCCAATGGTCCTTAAAAAAGAATAGAAAAAGTCAGAAATCTGGCCCTTGATAGTACTAAGAACCAAATGCTGGTCATAGACCTTATGGGTAGTAGCCTTCCTAGCTATTAGCATCGTGGGAATCACAGATTCAGAGATGCTCCCATCGTTTAGAAACTGGCCTTTAATAGTCCTCTCATTAAAACCAGTGATTGTGAAGCAGAATGCTAAACCGATCCTTGGGACAAAACATCAGGATGATCTGGGAAAGCCGACAGAGCGTCTGCCAGGAGTCTTGCTAGATTGGTGTACTACACCTGTCTGTGCTAGTCTGATGCAATATGAATTACCAGAATGCTCAGAGTGTACTGAACCCGTGGAGTTAAGAGAGCATCCAATAGATAATCCATGTACCTGGAGACAAGCCTGTGTTACAGAACCTGAAGGACAGGAGGTCCACATGCAGATTTCCCCAACTGTGATCAGATCCTGGAAAACCTAGAGACCCAGGTCAGGATGCTGCCAGCTGAGGAAGTCTGCCTGCAAATTGTCTACACCTGGTATTTACCTGGCAGGCAAAACTGAAACATATCTTCTGCCCAGGACAAGATTCAATCCACCTCTCTTGCCATAGCATGACTTCTGGTTCTTCCCTGATGGTTAATTCACTGTGGCCTTGCCAGACTGAATTTGGATCAGGTGACCCTCCAGTAGGGAGATTACATGGTACACACACAGCCAAATTGCCTGAAGCTCCAGGATGCTGATCAGTAGAGGAATCTCTTCCAAAGACCAGATGCTTCACTCTGTCCAGGTATTGTCCCACTTTGATACAATATTGCATTGTAGAGGTCTGGCGTGGAACTGCGCACACAAAACTGCCTCGTGGGAAGCTACCATGGTGCAAGACTCTTTTACAGTAGTGGAGAGTTGGGGGATTACTGGACTGGAGAACTTACATTTTCTTCTGTGAATGGAACATCACTTCAACAGATTTTCAAATTGTAACAAAATTGGTAGTCAGTGTGTTGTGATCTCAGGGAAAAACAAAGCCAACTGCAAATTAAGCTTATAAATGTGGCCCTCTTTGAAAACTGCTGTGGAAGGATTGCTCTCCATAGGATAGGTTCCAGCCACATATGTAAGCTTAATTTGTTATTGCCTTTGTATTTCCATGAGATCACTACACATTGACTACAAATGTTAGAACTTGAAAATCTATTTAAGTGAAGTTCCAATATAATGTGATTCTATAACTGTGAAGCCAGGTTAGGCTATGGTGAGAAATGTGAAACGGTAAAAAAAAAAAAAATGCAAACAAGATTGTGGTGATGTGGCAGGATAGGAATCTCCTATATCGACCCTCTGTGAGGATTCTGTGGATTTTGAAACATTACACATTATTTTAACCCTAGTTTACTGTATCTTGTGAGCTCATTTGCTGCCTATTATACATATCCACCAAATTTCCTGAAGAAGCAGACACCCTGTTCTGTGAAACACATTAAAGTCACTTGGTGTCTATTTTCTGGAATAATGAAAGTGAGAAGGGCCAGTGTTACTCTTTTATGGTTTTGGTTATTAAAATATGTCTGCGTTGCTTTTTATTCATCACCTACGTATAAGTACTGTTCACTTTGTTATATACCTGATTGTATATATACTGGTTTGCAATGTTTATTTGACAACTTGAACTATGCTTATTAGGTTATTGTAACCAACTTCTAAGATGGGAAATAATATATAGGTACCTCTGTTTGTTTATTTCCACATGAGACTCTATTTCAGGTTCGATTACAAGTTTTATTATGTAACTTTCACAATATATACATTGGAAACCATCCCTTTACATTATATTAGGCATGGCTTGTCTATATATCAGACATATGTGGTGGATTGTATGGTATGTTGTTTTGTGCCTATTTTTGTATGTTAAAGAAAATGTAAAACTTAATAAAAAGGCTTTATTTAAAAAAATTCACTATGTGTCCTTGTCCCCACCTCGAGCATACGATTCAGCTTTGGCGGAACAGGATTTGCATTATAAACATACAACGTAATCATAGTTTGCTCACCGGTGAAAGTTAGTGGAGAGAAGACTAGGGGGTGGTTATATAAATGATTGATTTACTATGACCATGATATGTTCAGTAATATTGTGAGGATTGTTTGTTTAGCAGGGGTAATTAATTACATTTCTAGGGGGTCCGGTGAGCAAAATTTTCATCGAGCCGAGGTCTAAATCGAAGTCCGGACAGAATGGTCACCCAGTCCGTTTCTGCACCGCGGTCCGCCATTTTTGGGTGCATTCACACCAGCAGCTGCACTACAACGCACAGCTGCTGGAGTGTGTTTTAAGAGACAAGGTGCTGATGCATAGATTCTGACACATCACACTTTTAAAAAAAAATTAACGTTAGAACTTTATTGAAATGTCAAAAGTGACATGTCATTAAGTTCTATAGTCAAAGAGCAGTGTGATGCGGATGTACCACATTGAGGCTGACTTCACTGAAAAAAAAGTACAGCATCCATCAGAGTGCCCCTTACATCAGTTGTCCCCATCAGGGTGCCCCCGTACATCAGTTCTCTCCATCAGAGTGTCCCTTACATCAGTTGACCCCATGAGAGTGCCCCTTTACATCAGTTAAGTATATGTATCTTGCTGCACTCCTTACCACATTTCTGTAATAAATACAGATGGGTGCTTGCAGCGACCACGGTTGGCGTCGTGAAATAGTATGTAAATATAAAGGATGTCACCAACACACCAAGCTGTTTGTGTTCAGCAAATGTCCATTTTAATGACAAATGTTGAATGACAATATTTGTCATTAAAATGGACATTTGCTGAACACAAACAGCTTGGTGTGCTGGTGACATCCTTTATATCCATTACATCAGTTGTCGCCATCAGAGTGCCCATTAAATGTGTTGTACACATCAGAGTGCCCCTTACATTAGTTGTCCCCATCAGAGTGCCCCCTTACATCAGTTGTCCCCATCGGAGTGCCCCTTACATCAATTGTCCCCATCAGAGTGCCCCCTTATATCAGTTCTCCCCATCAGAGTGCCTCTTACATCAGTTCTCCCCATCAGAGTGCCCCCTTACATCAGTTTTCCCCATCAGAGTAAAAGCCCTTCCACGTGCACACACTGGGGGTCTCAGCTGCTGTTGTGATGTGCGGGGTCCCTTCTGTGTCCCTGTACCTTTAAGGAGGTTGGGCTGCCTCCTGGCGAACCTGCACCCAATTTTATCTTTTGCTACATGTGCTCCAAGAGACTCTCATATGTTAGAGTTAGGACCGCACTACACAGAGGATCCTTGACGAGGCAGTGCGGCTTTCACATATTCAGCAGAAAACATGTATCTAAAACCTCTGTTTTTAACCTTAGCGGTTAGACAGGTTTTTTTGCATTCTGGCTGGTGAGTGTGCTGGGAAACTTTTTGCTGTTCTCCACATCAGAGTGCCCCCTTACATCAATTCTCCTCATCAGAGTGCCCCCTTACATCAGTTCTCCCCATGAGAGTGCCCCCTTACATCAATTGTCCCCATCAGAGTGCCCCCTTACATCAGTTCTCTCCATCAGAGTGCCCCTTACATCAGTTATCTCCATCAGAGTGTCTCTTACATCAGTTCTCCCCATCAGAGTGTCTCTTACATCAGTTCTCCCCATCAGAGTGTCTCTTACATCAGTTCTCCCCATCAGAGTGTCTCTTACATCAGTTCTCCCCATCAGTGTGCCCCTTACATCCGTTGTCTCCATCAGATTCCCCCCTACATCAATTGTCCCTATGAGAGTGCCCCCTTGCATTAGATGCCTTATTAGAATGCCCCCTTACATTAGATGTCCCCATCAGAGTGCCCCCTTACATCAGTTGTGCCCATCAGAGAGCCCCCTTATATTAGTTGTCCCCTTTGGAGTGCCCCCTTACGGTAGTTGCTGCCATCGGAGTGCCCCCCTTGCATTAGATGTCCCATTCAGAGTGCCCCTCTACATTAGTTACCGCCATCAGAGTGCTCCCTTACATTAGTTGCCGCCTTCGTAGTGCCATCTTATATTAGATGTCCCCATCAGAGTGTCCCCTTACATTAAATACAACAAAAGGGAGCACTCTGATGGAGACGCCCAATATAAGGGGGCACCCTGATGGAGACAAGCAATGTAAGGGGGTACGCTGATAAGGACCCATGATAATTATAATTAGTAATCCCCATCAGAGTGCACCCTTATTTTTTAATTTATTGTAAGGGGGCGCTCAGGTGGCAGCAGCTCATGTAAGGGACAACTAATTAGTAATTTTCCTCATCAGAGTGTCCCTTTAAAATTCTGCTCTCACATTAATGTTCAGCTTGAGGAGCAGGCAGTGCTAGGAGGGGATTAGAGGACCAAGGAGGCAATGCTTAGAGAAGATGAGAGTTGTGTGGGCTCTATCAGACAATGTTGCTTTCACTTGCAGATGTTACTGCAGTTTGGGTGGATTCTGAACCTTATGAAATCATAAGGACTCAGAGGATCGGAAGCACGTTGGTCATCAGAGTGTATCCTGCCACAATCAGGAAATGTGAAATTTTTCAGGAAATGTGCACTTTTTAAGTGCCCCTAATAACAGAATAAAAGTAAATCAGTGGGGACAGAGTAGAAGGTTTTCTGCATAACAAAGGTAAAAAAGAAACCTGTGGTATCTTCTGATAGACAGGACTTTTAGTTTTATGAGTTAAAGATGCTTAGCAGGTTCTTTTTTTACCACTGGTTTACTTATAAGAAGTTCAGCAATAAGAAGCATCTATACTTACCATTTCGGCAGCCCATGTCTTGAAACACCACTGCTTCACTGCTCTTCCTGACTCAGCAGGTATTCTACAATTCTGACTGTTTGAATACCTGCTCCTCCTGCCACATGCAGTTCCTCTTGCAAGCTGATATGTCAGTACAGTACATATGAGCCATTGGGAGGATTAATATACTATAAGACTAAATAATGATCTCACTCTCTAGAAGCATTTCCTGCTAAACAAAACGTTTATTACGACTCTAAACAACCTTAAAGGAGAACTATGGGGTTAGTGCTTTTCCCCATAGTTCTCCGTAGGGTAACGGGAGGACACAAACTAGCGTTCTCCCATCACCCTAAGCTCAGTATACCACGAGCTACAGCTCGCGGTATACTGAGACGCTGCAGTATACCGCAAGCTACAGTTCGCGGTATACAGAGACGCCGCAGCTGAAATGGATCCCGACAATTATGTCTGGATCCGCCCAGCTGCGTGAGTGACAGCTGGCTCTGCCTATCTAGAGGCAGAGCCAGCTGTACCCGCCCCCTCCCCCGTCCGTTCCGCCAGTCAGCGCTGGAGGAGCGGAGAGGGGGGAATCCAGTCCCTCCCCTGTCACGGCTCTCTGCCGTGACAGGATCGAGAAGTGAGCGAGCGCCGGTATGTGTTCGCTTACTTCCCGATCTACTGAGCCGACCTGTAACAGTCTCATTGTCACAGGTCTGCCAGAACTATGAGGTGAGTGAAAAGCACTCACCTCATAGTTCTCCTTTAATTCACAGGAATTACCTTCTTGTCCTTGGGTGCTCTGATGATATAGGTCCCCTTTTTGTTGATAGCTGTTGCCAGGGACAGAGATGACAATTCAACTGAACCATGACTCTCTTTTACAGTCTTCAGCCATTCTATATGACGAGCAGAGTCTCTCTAAAATTATATAGACAGAATGTGTTAAAAGTGTCAATGAACAAAAACAAATCTATACAAAGAAAACCAGCTATACTTTTACATTTTGTTATCAAGGCGACAGTCTAATTTTTCCCATTCATGACAAAGTAAGATGGTGTCTGAAAACACCGGCCTCAGAGGCCGATGCATGCACTGCCATCCATAACTCAGTACAGGCCCCCCTCTGGTGGCACTCCCTTGCCCCACCTACCCATGCACTGGTTTTGCTCCTCTGTCCTGCCACGCAGAGCATGTCTGTATAGGAAGTGACAGGCTCCTAATGGGTCACACAACGCTTTGGATCTCTGAGAGGTAGCCATTGGCTCCTCCCACATGCCGGAGGTAGCGGTGGTGACATGAAGCTCTCTGGGGCCTGGGGCAGCAGCTAGTGGCTTTACAGTCTGCACTATATGAGGGACATTTATGTGTACTAACATCACTGTTCACTGCTGTCATCCTCCAGGAGACCAGCACTGTTAATCAGGGGCCATCCCTGCACTGTTAAAAGAGATAGGCAGATGCCACATACAGTAGTCTTTGGGCCCATTCAGTCCGGTCCCGTGCATTATTCGCACAATTCCGTGAAATTAGCGCCCGGTACCGTGCAATGAACCTACGCTTCCTGTGCTTCATTGTCTGGGCATTGGAGGGCAGGAAAACTTCAGGATTCTAATAGACCACAGATATTTACATAAAGAGACCCAGTGACCTGCAAATACTGTCACATAGGGGCTTTTTAGCTCCTTCATGATAGCAAAAGTTAAAGTGGACCTTTGCCCCCTTTGACTAAAAATCATAATAGCATGCAGCTCTGCTTTATTTTATTTATTATTAGTTAAACAAACATATTTTTCTTTTACATACAATTTATTTTTTTCTACTTTCTGGTCCACTAGGGAACAAATTATGTAATGCCTTATATCCTGGGAAGATTACAACAGCAGAGTATTGCTGGGAAATCTCATCTGTAATCTCACAAGATCTCAGGGAAACTCTCCCTGAGAGTCAAACGTGCCAGAGATACAGGAAGTAAAGAAGAATGAATTAACCATCGCTCAATAAAAATGGCCACCGTGAGAAGAATGGAGAGGAAGAAAAGGAAAAAAAAAGGTATGCAAAGAATAAAAAGTGGGCAATTATCTATAAGCATCTGCTTGTAGATTGTCATTACTAAACATTTCTACAGGTGCCTTTGTTGTTATTTTGAAGATAAGAGTAAAGGTTCTCTTCAAGTAAAAAAAAAAAAAAGGGGATAACAAAGTAAAAAATAATAAAATTTAAAAATTTAAAAAAGTGATAAAAAGTAAATACAAATAAAATAAAATAAAAAAATTAAAACCAACCCTGCTACCCTCACCATCTGATTCGAATGATCACGTGTGCATAGGTTAGTGAGATCTAAAATAAAAAAAAACAGTGCAGTCCGGGATCGCCGCATCAGCACTGTGCCTGTAAACACACACTAGCAGCTGTATGTAGCTATGCAGCTGCTTGTGGGAATGCAGCCAAAATGTCAGATAGTGGTATGGACACAGACTCATTGACCGTTCTGTCCGGACCACAATTCGTACCTCGGCTCGATGAACATTTTACTCACCAGACCACTTTGAATTTTGTATTTACTACTCTTGCTCTAAATAAACTATTTACTAGCTTAAACATTATCTGTGTTTTTCCTGCTTGCTGGCAGATATTCCTTGTTCTGTGGTTACTCCTATTCAGAGGCTCCTCTGATGTGACCTTTTACAGACCAGTAAACAACCAGTGGGCTGACCAGGACTGAATTCCAAATGCCACATAAAAGAGGCCCCATGAATCTGAGCTAGCCAAGCCCAAATATGATCAGTCTCATGGCTAAGGATAACAATTGCAATAACAAGTAGAAAGAAATGTGTTGCTTAGGGCAGGGCTCAAAATTTCAAGTCCTGAGCTACTAGCCAGGCCTTAAGAGTTACTCGCCACCAGTCGCCCCACCTAACCCCTACCGTGCCCCGGCCTTAACTCGGCCAAGTCAGTGGTGTGACACAGAGAACAGAGATCAGTAACAATGCAGAGTGCAGAGGCCAGTGGTGTAATGCCGAGTACAGATGGTATATTCAGTGAGCACATATTTAGATGTACTTTTGCAGTGTTTACATTAAAGTAACTTTTCGTGTAACCTTCACATTTCACTTGAGATTGCGCTTTTCTATTCTTGTATCTGTTTTAAATGTAGAGATTTGTAGAACAACCAATAGAGGTAGATTAGATTGGCTACTACAATGACTCTTTCTAACTGCTCAGCAGCCAGTAAAAAAGATAATGGCCACATAAGAAGTGCATTGTGTTTCATGGGTCAGCAGAATCATAGACTCACGTGCTGAGAAGCAGCAGTAAAGCAAAACAATGGTGTAGCACTATATACCAGGAAGCAAGGCCTGTGTTTGTTTGTAAATGTGCAAATATGGCTGCCCCCCTGAATACATAAAATTACAAACTACACACTGAAACAGTTTTTTTTAAAAACATTAACACTTATTAACACACATTTATTAGTATAAATCTAAGAAAACATTGATAGGACAACACATTCCCTTTAATGTGATAACATATGCTCAGTTGACCTACCAACTTTTCTGGAAGTTTCGGGTCACTTTGTAAGGCTTTCCATAATTTCTCCAGGCAAAGCATGAAGCTGTCAAACCCAAACTCACACTTCAGGTCATAGAACAATGGTGAATATCCCAGCACTGCGTCATGAAAGCAGGCAACACGGTCCACATCCATATCGTTCTCTCCAGCAGAAATGGAGGCCAAGTCAACAAACACTTTCAGCTCATTGACATCTAAATGAGAAATAATAATCTATTAGAAAAATCAATAAACTTGTTATTTTTAGATATATCAGCTTAAATACAACAAACTTATTTATGCTTGGTATCAAGCCCTCCGAAAATGTCACACTTTTTTCTCCTTATCGTCCTTTCTTATAATGTTATGAATTTTACCTATTTTTAAATAAAAAATGCCTTGAAATTGAATCTCTTATAGTGGAAATGCACTTCCTTCCTTTCCACTCCTGTATTCTGTACTGGCATAGGTGAGTAACAGCCACACCTCTCATCACATGTCCTCTCACAGTCGTGTAGTGGTGAAAAAGGGAGGGATGTATCTGACCAGGTCTGTTAGGTTATAGAATGCACTGTCAAACTCTAGTGCCTATAAGACTGCACAGCCATATCAGGACACACCGCGCAAATGCAAGCAAGTGGAGGTGAGACTAAGAAAATGGAGGTTGTTGACACATAATTGTCGGGATCCGTTTCAGCTGCGGCGTCTCAGTCTCGCGGTATACTGAGCTTTGGATGATGGGAGGACGCTAGTTTGTGTCATCCCGTTACCCTTTGGAGAACTATGGGGAAAAGCACTAACCCCATAGTTCTCCTTTAAGAACTGCCTATAAGTAGGGACAGTTATATGTTAAACTTATTGCTTACAGGAATATATTTTGCAGCATGTTTGCAAACAATTGTTTTGAAACATTCCCATTTTTGTTCTGTGTTTTTTGATGAAAATATTCCCTCAGTTTAAGTCTTCAAGAGCAGCCCTCAGCATGGGAAAATTTGCTCTCCTGAAGTTAAGTGTTTTTATTTTTCCAGTATGTGAATGTTGTTTACAACTTAAGTTAAATGAAATCATTTTATGGTCACGGTTACCCAGATGTTCTTTATTATTTGTAATAAGCTCTGCATTGTTTGAGATTACCAGATCTAGCAGAGCATCATTTCTAGTTAGGGCTTCTACATACTGTACCATAAAACGATCATGCAATAAGTTTATAAATGTCCGCCCTTTTACTGTTCCAGCAGTGCCATTATGCCAGTCAATGTCAGGAGAGTTAAAATCTCCCATTAATAATACTGTCCCCACCCTTGCCTATGATTATTTTTTTATTTCAGTTTAAGTTTTCTTGACAGTTATGTTTAGAGTTCTTTGAGTTCTTTATTTCGCAACATGTACTACTGTTCTAAATTTAAATGTCACTATGTTTGCCGGATGAAGGGACGTATGACTGTTTCGAAACATTGCTGTTCACTTTTTAACGCCTGAATAAAGCCGTTTACACACTGGACCTTGGAGTGACTTCTTTTGTAATTTTTGCTTGCAGTAGTAATACTTACCTTATTCATGGTTTCTCCAGCAGCTGGCATTACTACCTGCTATCTGACATTCTGGGATGTGGTAACGGCCCTTGATGTCCTTACACACAATGCACAACCACTAGTTCTGCATTGTATGTAATGACGTTGGATAGGCCATGACTGGTCAAGCAGTGAAGAGACATGGCTTCGGGAACGAGTCATAAGATAGAATGGAAGTCTGCGGGAGTGAGGAATAAGGTAAGTATTTCTATGTATTTCTCTACCACTAGAAATGAGCATTTTACCCTTACAGTGTGGAAGGTGACCCATTGCAAGGGTTCACTTTTGTCTTCCCTGGGGTTCCACCTTAAAAAAAAAGGCCTAGATTTTATTAAAAATTTGATAAAACATGTAACTATAAATGTTTATTTTATTCAACTGTATTCTATTCACTGAAAAATTTTAAACCACAGCTGGGTTTTATTATTTCAAATGTGATCCAAGTTCAGATACTGTTGGAAGAACTAGTCTAATCCACACAGCAAATTACAGAGCATCCACTCTCACCCAAGACCTGACTTCAAATTTCATGGAAATCTATACATTTTTGGCTTTTTCTTGATGGCTGTCTGGTTGTTTTACAGTTTCTCTGGATTCTTCAAATACAGTACACCTACCCAGAAGTGTGGAGATCAGGATTGATGAGTATTGCTCCCCTTTTTTCTCCTTTTCTTTGCTTTCTTTCTTCTCTTGTCCTTCCCCCATTGCTACTCATTGTCCCACTATGTGCTGACTGATCTGGTTGTGGCTATTTTTGCTTTTTCCTCCTGTAGTTCTCTCATGTAATCTCATTAGCGATTTTTCTCCCCTTTTCTATTTGTGGGATTGTACCCCGTTTACACTAGATTTTGCTCTAATGTCAAACAGGGGAGAGATATGCTGGCTTATTGGTTGCATGTGGATGTTTTCTTTTTATGAAGTCTTGATTATTGCCATGCTTCTCTATATTATGTATCTTATTGTATTTGCAACGCCTATATTGCTTTTCTACTGGATGGGTGGGGGCTTGTAATGTGGGCTGTTGTTTTTGTCACTCTGTTAAACTCTAATAAATCTTTTGTAAAAGAAGTATGAAAATTAGGAATTTTGACTTGCTATACATTTATTAACAGGGTTATTCACAAAAGGGTGAAGAGTATGGAGAAGGCAGGAGAAGTGAACAATCTAGGACAACATAGCGGATTTGGAAAAAATTTCCAATTCAGCTCATGCTCCGGTTCAGCTATGTTGTCCTAGATTGTTCACTTCTTCTGCCTTCTCCAAACTCTTCATAACCCCATGCCCACCAGGACACGGAATAAAAGAGGGAATGCCAACACTGGTAAGATATTACAGCAAAGAAAAGTTCTGTTAAATGCTTAAGAACTTTCTCACAGGAGGGAAAAACAAAAGGATCACCATAGCAGTAGGTTTCTGCTCCTTATTATGCAATCAGCAGGTTAGTTTGTATTGGTAACCAAGGAAACAGAAGTTGGGAAGCCCTTTTTCTTGCAGTCATCTATCAAATGTAAACACGGAACCATTACAATATTATGTGTGAGTGTATTCTATTGAATTTATGTTGGACATACCTGTCAATGCTTCTTTCACCCAAAGAATAAACTCTTTTCTTTTCAAAACTTCCTTAAGACATGCAATGTGATTTTCATTAACTTTCGACAACACTTGTTTGGTTTTCATTACTTCTGTGCTTATACATGATAACGAATTTTGCTTATAGTTCTCAAAGTCATCAGCCTGCAAGGAAAGTTTAAAAAAAAACAGCAAGTAATTATACTGAAGGGTAACTCCACCTTATGATATTTCAGATTATGTTGGATGTTTTCAGGTTAAATCATCCACAAGCTTTCTATATATTTTCAGAATTTCAGGAATGCAACATTTGCTGATAGCTTAGCCAAATTGTGTATCAAGTGTCTATAAGCATATAAATTAGAATGGCTAATGGTACCTAACAAATAGAAACACCCAGGCTTCCCACTATACATGACCAAAGAATGGTGCCTAACACCTGCTCCTGTAACCCCCTTTCACCACCAGATCCTGAAGATACCGAAGCATTTATACAACACTTAGACCACCCCCAACCAGATGTAATCACTAAGCCCTCGTTCACACCTGAACGTTTTGTAGCGCGTTCTACGCTCGACGAACGTTCTACAAAACGCTCAAAAATATAAATCCCATTGTATTCAATGGTCTCGTTCCCACCTTTTCCGCCCGTCCCTAAAGCGCTACAAAACGGCCCACGCCTAAAAAGGTACATGTACTACTTTGGGCTGTTTTGTTGCGCGTTTCCATTGGGATACAGCCAAGTAGCGTTTGTCGCGCGACTTTTTTACCGCGAATCGCGGTAAAAAACCGCGCGACAGACGCGCATATGCAATACGCCTAGGTGTGAACGAGACCTAAGTGTGGAGCTGTCCTTTAAATCTACTTCCTTTGAAATAGAAGCTTTGCTGAAGCAATTAGCTGCTGCTGCTGCTGCTGCTGCTGCTGCTGCTGAACTCCTTCTGAGAGTTCTCACAGTTACTGATGAATAGTTTTTGGGAATGGCAACTTAGTGTTTCTTTTGATACAGAGCTGCCAGCACAAGTGTGAGGTTCACATATTGCAAAGGAGATGGGTATACAGGACAAGGGATTCCTTTTAGGATTTTGTTAAGGGGTTATATAAGGTTGGGGTTATGGCCAGGGATCAGGGGACTTAGTTTAAAATGACACTAAACTCAGGAGTTCAATCTTAAAAATGCATTTGAAGTACCCCATTAACAAAAATGTATCTTATTTATGTATCATTCGGCTGTAGATCCTCAAATCATCTCTGAATTGGTGCTAACACTGTCCTTCCATCTGGAGCATGACTACTTGTGTTCCCTATGGTCCCTGTGTGTGTTCTAACATAGCCACCACTCTAGTGATTAACTGTAACGTTAATACAAATTAGTAAAAATAAATGTGAGACTGTAGTCCATCATGGAAGCGTGTTTGGAGTGGTGGTTATTGTCACTTTAAGTTTAGGGGTTAAGCTAAATAGAATCTGATAACGTTACAAACAAAGCTGAAGGTATCAGACACACATAGCAGAAGACTCTAATCTCTAGAGGCCAATTTACAACCATGTGTTAACAAACTCATTACTGCAAAGCACGTTACATGTGCTGATACATTGTGTTTCATTCCTTTTGAAAATCACCCCAATGCAATAAGACAACACACATGCATTGCAACATGTTGCAATGAATGTCAACTCATCATTGATTTGAATGGGCTGCCTTTATTGAACTCACATAATGTGTGGAATAGAATTTGCAACAATGTCGAATGGCAGGCCGTTTTACCAGACAAAGCTTTGGAGATTTTTGATGATGCCAAATTATGCTCGCCCCTTCCTACATCTTGCACATTCCTAATGGGGCAGTGTGTCTTTTTACCAGTGATAGACCAATAGGAATGCGCTGGGGTAGAAGGTAAGTTTTTTTCTGGCAAAAGCATGCTATTTTCAAACTGTCTCTGGTTTTGGTTACCTTGCAGGAGTATAAAATAGTGATAGGCATAATACCTGTATATAACAGATGGTAAGAAATAAACCTTAGCTGCAGAAACCACTGTTTCAATATACCACAGCAGGTGGCCACATGTCCAAATGCTGAAAAAGACAACCATAATTCAGATCAGCTAAGCATATGGTCAAATAACAAGCTGCTGTAAGGTACTGGCACAGTGGTTTCTGCAAAATGAGCAGGGAGGGCAGGCTTGCAAGTAGATAATATTTGACAATAGATTTGCTTTAATCAGGAGTTTAAAGGGTTATTAAACCCTTGCATGTTTTTGCATATATCTACTGCTAGCAAGCAAGATTAAAAAGGGTTAATACTTACCTGTGTCTCTGCCGCGTGCTCCCGTCCGAACATTTGAAAATTTCTCAGGCGGCCGCAAAGGATCTTGAGGCGGGCGAATGCGCAGTTCAGATGTTCGGCCGGGAGACGAGGAGAGACACAAGGTAAGTCTATGGAGTAGCGTGCACCCGCACAGACTCCGTGGGAAATCAGAGAAGAGGGCAGAGGAGTAAGTGCTGGATCGGAGACCCGCACCCAGCGCTGGAGGGACAGCTAAAAACTACAGGAAAGAAGATGATTGGATTAAGAGGCATCATTTAAGGTAAGTCCTTACATTAGCACTGTGGGGGAGGGGGGACTTTTGCCCTTAATGTCACAAATTGTTGATACAACATATTAGCGATGTTCCTACTGCCATTAATGTCAACATACATGTCTAAATCATAAACAGGTAGCAGGAGAGCTGTTGGCTTAGTCAGTACATTACTACTGTAGAGAGTTAGGTCAGTGAGAGGGGGGAGATGTGCCAGCAGCCCAGGGAATTAACTTTTAACATTAAATTATTATTACACTTTTTCAATAACAAATCCAAATCAAACAAATACAGTATACATTGTCCAGCAAGATATTTATTTTATATTTTTGCCCAAGCACTTACAATCATCACGTTATCAAACAGATGCCAACAATTCTCTCAGCTACACTTACCTGAAATTCCTATCCAGTACAAGATCACAAGGGACAGAGCAGTATCTGGCCGCTGTCCATCTACCACACTGGTCCCTAAATGGCGGACCATGGTCCGGACACATACCGAGTAGCTGTTTTATCTGGACCGCAATCGCTGACCTGCGCTAGGTTATGGCTTGCTGACAGCCAGCCATAACCTAGTGCGGATCCTCACTCCTCCTCAGTCATTGGCTTCATTTGTTGCTAACCCTGGGGTTAGCAACAAATGAAGTCATCTATGTTCCCCACCCAGCATTAAGGGAGGATGGAAAAGTATTGTCTTCCATCCTCCCCTGCAGCCTGCCCCGCTTCCCAGCTCCTCCCAGCCATTGCAGTGCGGTTGAGCGCATTGCTGCCAGGAGGTGCGTTTAGGGTGTAATTCAAATGAATGGCAATGCAACGCACCTGCTGCACTGTAGTGTTCGTTAACGCACTGCGGTGGTGTGCACAAGCCCTTTAGGGGACAATCAGTGTAAGGGGACAAGTAATTATTAGTTGTCCTCATCAGAGTAGCCCCTTATATTAATTATGAATGTAAGGGGGCATTCTTGTGGGGACAGCCAATGTAAGGGGCACTCTGATGGGGACAACTAATTATTAGTTGTCTTCATTGGAATGCCCCCTTACATTAGATGCTACCATCCGAGTGCTCCCCTACATTAGTTGCCACCATTGAAGTGCCCTCTTACATTAAATACAAAAATAAGGGGACATTTTGATGGGGACATCCAATGTTAGCCCTTGTTCACACCTGAACGTTTTGTAGCGCGTTCTACGCTCGATGAACGCTCTACAAAACGCTCAAAAATATAAATCCCATTGTATTCAATGGTCTCGTTCCCACCTTGGCGTATTTCCGCCCGTCCCTAACACGCTACAAAACAGCCCACGCCTGAAAAGGTACATGTACTACTTTGGGCCGTTTTGTTGCGCGTTTCCATTGGGATACAGCCAAGTAGCCTTCGGGAAAGCGCGCGTTTGTCGCAGGACTTAAACGCGCGACAGACGCGCATATGCAATACGCCTAGGTGTGAACGAGACCTAAGGGAGCACTCTGATGGGGAAAATCAATGTAAGGGGGCACTCTGATGGGGACAACCAATGTAAGGGGGCACTATGATGGGGACAACCATTATAAGGGGGCACTCTGATGGGGACAACCATTGTAAGGGGGCACTCTGATGGGCAGAACTGATGCAAGCGCTCTGATGGGGATAATTAATTATTAGTTGCCCCCATCGGAATACCCCCTTTCATTAGTTGCTCCCATCAGAGTGCCCCCTCTTCTTGCTTGTCCCCTTACATTAACTATGAAAGTAAGGGGGGCACTCTCATGGGGACAGCCAATGTAAGGGGGCACTCTGATGTGGAACACCAATGTAAGGGGGCACTCTGATGGGGAGAACTAAATATTACTTGTCCTAATTGGAGTGCCCCCTTACATTGGCTGTCCAATGTAAGTGAGCACGCTGCCCCCTTACATTACAAGTAATGTAAGGGGGCACTGTTATGGAGACAACTGATGTAAGGGGGCACTCTGATGGGGACACCTAGTGTAAAAGGTACTCTCATGGGCGAACCTAATCTGAGGGGGCGGTCTGATGAGGACAACAAATGTATGGGGGGACTCTAATGTGGAGAATAAATGTAAAGGGGGCATTCTGATGGAGAGAAATAATGTAAGGGGGCACTCTGATGAGGAAAATTGATGTAAGGTGGCACTCTTTTGGGGACAGCTGATGTAAGAGGCACTCTGATGGATGCTGTACTTTTTTCAGTGAAGCTAGCCATACTGTGGTAGTACTACATTACATTGCACTGTGCCCACAAAACTTAATGACATGTCATTTGTGGCATTTGAATAACATTCTAACAAAAAAAAGTGAGATGCGCTGGTATCGGTGCATCAGCACTGTGTCTGGGAAAAACCACCAGCAGTTGTGCATTGCAGTGCAGCTGCTGGTGCGAATGCAGCCTAAAAGGCTGAGTGACTGTTCTGTCTGATTCAGACCTCAGCTGGATGAAAATTTTGATCACCAGGCCTCCTTGAATTTTAATTCACTACCCCTGGTCTACGAGCTTAAAGAAGGTATACGTGAGGAGCAGGAAGCAGGGGGGTGGGTTGCTTGCCCTATCTATCTATGTGCTTGTGGAGACATAGCTTACTAGC